GCTAGGACACGACCCTAACTCAAGATAAAGCCAGAAATCTGAAGTCACAGTATTGTGGAAGTCTTATCGTATTTGAACAAGGACTGAATTGCATAATATGATGTGGAAATATTATTTCTATCTCTCATTTCTTTTCTTTTTAATGTTGAATACCTACTAACAATACTCACCAATGCAGTTAACGGTGCTTCTTCCAACTTATACTTCTCTGAGATAACTTTCTCTACATTTATGACTAGAGCAGGGGAAGAGAAGGGTAACCAACTAGTAGCACGGCCTGAGTGGTTGATGGAAACCGAAAAACTGCGAGTCGGTGTCAGATTTCTGCAAAAATGACAAGCTCACGAAGCGACAGATTTGAAGACAAATGTCAGCTCAAGCTAAAAGCCCCTATTTATCTACAGTTGTGTGAGGCTTGAATCGACTCTTTAACTCTTTCTCCACAATGGCTCTTATTTATACGCGCTAACCGTCTTCAAACGCATACGAAGCGTCGAATATTAGATGCACTCTAAATGTTATCTAGAACTCAAATAAAGGGGAAAAAATACCTCAGTGGGATGAGAAGTATAAATCATAGTGAATGAGTTAATGATAAGGGAAGCAGTGACATGTGACATGATTCCCCGTTTTTCATTTCAAATTGCTGACAATTTCTATTCTGCTTTCACAAAAATCGCTTTAATCCATCAATTTGTGCCAATGGGGGCATAAAAACCATCTATATTCTAAAAAAATTAATCCATTGAAGATTTCAAAAGCGTCGGTGCTTTCAACAGTGAGCATCTACGTCTTATTTCAAAAGGACCTCCACCATGCCCCAACACCTGCACATACGAGAGAAAACTCATTGGACCGTGAGTCCACAACCATGTTTGGAAACGTATTTTATGAGTGGCTGCATCTCAATTATATGAACACATTGCGCGACCGCAGGATGAGACAAAGTCGTATCTCAACTACAGTCACTTTTGAGATTATGTTATGAGTGGCTGCCTCTCAAATATGTGTCAAGACTCGGTGCTTTTCGTTTACGCTTTTCTGTAACATTTTGACAGGAATTTTGTTAATGAATGTGTGGAAAATTGTTGCTCTCTTTAATTTCATTATTTTGAGGAGCACCTAACTCCGTACGCTAAGACACATAAGTGAGTTTTCACATACTTAGTCGCATTGGAATGGAAAGAATAATTATCTTGGTTTTATCAAATAAACAAATGCATTTTTAAAAAGAACCACCCCCCCCCCCCCAAAAAAAAACAGAAAAGAAAGATGCAGATTTTAACTTAGAAATGTGAGACACTTTAAACCAAAATATTTTTAAAATCTGACAATCTGAGTTAGACCCTTGTTATTATATGATGTCAAGAATGATACTGCAGCTTTTGCGTTGATGCCTCTCGGGTAAGTGGGGGGGGGGGTTTTCCTGGAGGGAAGATTTAGCTTGACAAGTCTTTAAAAGATTGCTTACTCTTTGACGACAGAAAAAGGTCCTTGAGATTACGAGACCCGCTAAAAACTTTGAAGACTCGGAACAATTAAAGAGTTTTCTTTAGGGCACTTGGCCGTCCTTTCAATTAAAAACCACGGATGAACTGGATTTTTGTGTATGTGTCTGACATCTTCGCACCAGGCTATATTTTTTTTTTTTTTTTTTTTTTGCAGAACCCGAGGAGCGTGGAATGAATACACGTATACCATCTCTTACAATATTTTCAAAAACAAAAAAAATCCCGGAGACATTCAAGTTCAAGGTTTAAACCCTACAAAAATGTGACCGTTGTTAACGAAATTTATGATCGACATCTAATTCAGACAAACTTACATACGGCAAATATGTCACAGCGTAGTGAAATCAGGCGCTCGTCCAAATAACGAAGTCATAAAAATGGACATTTTCCGTCGGTTGGGCAATTAAAAAAATATAATTCTTGATGTTGTTGTTGTTGTTTGCGTGTGTGTATGTGTGTATGTGTGTGTGTGTGTGTGTGTGTGTGTGTGTGAGTGAGTGTGTGTGTGTGTGTGTGTGTGTGTGTGTTTGTGTGTTTGTGTGTGTGTGATTGAGTGTGTAGGTGGTTTTTTGTGGTTTTGTGCATTAAAAATATTATTCTGCGTGAATTTTATTCAGAAGCGTTGATATAAGGCACACACAAAAATTCGGAATTTACAGTTTCCAAAGACAGTATATATAGCTTTGGAATTCACCACAAGTTTTCAGGCAGTTCCTCTCCAAAGTCCTAACTGTCATTAGGCAACCCCCAACCCCCAGCCACTTTCAACCGCTAATATCTCTACCTTTATTTGAGATAGAAGTCTATTTTTGTAATGTCATTATCATCAAAACAAATGAACAATCTATTTTTTGACAGGTACCAATAGCTCTATACTCTCAACAACAAAAAATAAACAACAACAACTGACG